CTTGTCATGCGTCGTGGCGCTTCTCTTATAAGAACCTTTACGGTCTCTGGGCAGTTCTTTGTTTCTTTCCTCTATTTCTGGGTTCCCTTGCGTTCGCTCGCAGCCCGACCCCCTCCGGATTCAATTCACATTGGCTAGAGGAACCTGGACAGTTTCAACAAGCACTCAAGCGAGATACCAATTGGATGAATTTACGTCTCCTTCACTGCTAAGACTTGTTGGGGAGATCTCAGCCATTGTCAATTACAATGGCTAGACTAAACCCGAGTCGAGATGCGCATATGGCCGTTTTCGAAGGAGGCTCCTTTGTCTCCTGGCCTCGACTTACCTCTCCTTTGTCCACAGCTATTCGATAACTACCTGCCCTTGGCGGACCGTCCTGTTTGACACGATGCGCTTGAGAACTCGGTCTCATGCTTTACATGGCAATTGCATAATCCGATCGGACAGCTGCACCTTCCTCGGTAGACCACGCCCTAAGGCACCAAAGACGATTATTCGAATGCGGAAAGCGCAATAGAGAGGGGAGGATGCACATCATGGAGGGCGCTATTGTCTTGCTCCTCGTTCAAGGGCTTCTTGCTCAATCGGCTAATTTTGAATTGCGTACTCGAACGGTGACGATCACCACGACAAGATCTACGACAGTCAATAGTCCGGTAACTTCAACTAGCTCGATCCCTACGATGCTTGCGGAACATGACGATTATACTTTCCAAGGATGCTTTAAGCAACCCACCTCGGACGATACGGGTGAAATGCTTGGATATGACTATATCATTCCTGCCAATGCTTCTGACTTCGACAAGTTCACCGTAGCATTGTGCGTGAAGCTTTGTGGTGCTGCAAAGACGACAAGTGGAGAGGCCTACGGATTTGCTGCGGTGTCGAATGGAAGGTAGGATGTTTGGAGATTGACAGACTAGTCTTCCCAGCACTGACATACAACGCTCCACAGAGACTGCTATTGCAGTACAACAATCTCACAAGACGCAGAAAAAGAGCTCGACGAGGATTGCCCTTTCCCTTGCCCAGGAGACCCGACTCAATCATGTGGTGGAAACGGGTACTTCGCGATCTACTCACTCGACTCACCCCGTAGCACGAATGCCGCTGAGACCTCCGACCGACAGAGCAGCCCAGGGTCCTCGGAAGCTCCTTCAGCATTTTATGCTGCTGAGAATGCGCAAGACGATCAGTCGACTAGAGTCCCTAGAGGGCCTACCGTGGCGCTTATAGCGAGCAGTGTTTTAGGCTTCGTTCTACTCTGTGCCTTGATATTCATTGGCGTCAAACTTCACAGGCGGAACAAGCAACTGAAGTCTTCTGGGCATAGACGTATCGAATCGCGAGCAGGGGTGTTGAAGCTTGCATCAGCAGCCGAGGACAAAGAAAAGGGCAAGTCAGTTACTTTTAAGAAAGGGCACAACATTATCACCAATGGGCTCTTCTCGAAAGCGAAGATATCTATGCGAGGACAGAATGACACACGGCCATTCGACGAATCGAAGAACGTGAGCAAGACAGTGGGTAATCGGGATGGAGCAACTACTGGCGTGGAGTGGAAACTCAATAGCAACACTGTGAAAGGGAGTGGGCTGTCACCAAGAACGTCATCGGTAACTCGCGACTATCCCAGCATGACCTTACCGGTACACCAAATACCGGAGACTGCGGCACAAGTGCCTACTCTAGGAGATCGAGCGTGGCATAGACGTCGAGATTCAGTATCTTTTCCTCCAAAAGCCGCTAAAGGGGCTGTTAGCAAAGACGCACCCGCACCAGCATCTGGTAAAGGCACATCACCCAATCAACCCGAAGCCGACCCATATGTGAAAGAAGGAGAGGTACCCACGCTGCCAGTTCTCGACTTCGATTCTACAGCCAATGCTGGCCCTGTAGAAGGTGCCAATGCAGGAGCGGAGCCATCACCGCCTTTTACACTCTGGACAATCCCTTCAACTTCTTCTCTGCCTCATTTTGACCGCACGGGCGAAGGCGAGAAGAAGGGCAACCAGAAGTAGCAAGGAAGATATTTTCGGGATTATTTTGATGTTTTGAGAATGCCTGCAAGGCCATGCTACCTTTATACAAGTTACTCAAATGATATTTTACCGTCCCTAGCTAGTAAAGTTCAACTATTGATCCTCTGCCTTAAAAGTCATAAGTGAAAGTCATGTAGCGTAATCATCCTTGATACAAACACTCCCGTTCAACTCCAGTCGTAGGCAGCCCCTTTCATTTCGTGTCCAAAGCTTGAGCATCACCCAATACTCAACAGATGGAGGCCAGTTGTTAGTCGTGGCAGCCCCTTTCCTATAGCATCCCAACAACAGCTACCATACCACCAAGCAGGGCGCCCATGATACCTACACCCGTAAGATCACCGCGCGAGCCTGGCGCAGCAGCATTCGGCGTGGTGGTGGTCGTGCTAACCGCGCCCGTACCAGTGCCACTGCCAGTCTCGGTGCCTTGAAGCGTCGTCGTGCTTGTGACATCGCCGCTGACAGCTTCGGCTATCGTTGCTAGTCCCGTCGTGGTGAAGACGCTGCCGCTGCCGCTAGCAGATCCAGTCGGCGTCTGTGTCACGACCGCCGTGACTGTGGTCGTCCGTGTCTTCCACGTCCAGCCGTGGCCCCAGTCTCCCCAGCCATTCCCTATTATCTGGTATTAGTAAAGTACTCCAGCATGACTGAGCTTCAGGGGCTGCTTACAACCATCGCCGTCATCACCTCCCCAACCGCCTGGCGCGCCGCCGAACCACGGCGATCCGTCCCAGGGACAGCCTGTCACGGTGTACGTGCCGCCCGTGTAGCTCGCCGTCCAGCCCGGACGAGACCCCCAGCCGCCGCCCCAGCCTCCGCGGTGCGAGCAGTTGTCATCGTCATCGTCACTGTCACAGCCCGGCCCCCACCATCCGGGGCCGGTGGCAGTTGCGCCGGGCCATGAGACGGTATAGACTCCTGTGCTGCCCGCGCTGGAGCACGAGCTGTAGCGTGAGCACAGGGAGGACGAGAGAGACGAGTAAGAGCTGAACGCCGTGGGTGTGGCCGAGCATGAGCTAGAAATACAGGTTGCGATGGGCGCGGCGTCCGTCGTCGTGCAGTATGCCTCCGGTGACGGCCATGCGCTTCCTGTTGCAGAATTGTAGTATGAAGAGAGACAGGAGTGCTGGAGCAGTGTTAGAGGGTGCTACGATAAGAGCGGCAGAACAAGGCCGTTCGGATCGAGGACCAATATGTCCCATGTTTCATAGCTACTTACTGCGCAGTCAGGAGCTCCTCCCCACCAATCTGCCTTGACCAAAGCCGCGGGTGCCAGCAAGGCTGTTATCTTTACAGATGACCTCATGTTTGCCGAGTGTTACTCTTTTGTTGTTGAGAAGCTCCCAGTAAGAGATCCCTAGTGACATGCAGGACCGATATGCCAGTGAAGCAAGCCAAGGGTCCAAAGCTTAATATATTCAAGACAAACCCGGAACTTACGGGATCTCGCGGGACAACGAAGACGCAAGCACCTTGACCTTGTGTTGCCTATCAACGGGATCTGCAGAAGGGAGCAACGACTTGAAGGAAAGATGTGCGCGGACAGAGAGATAGATACAGCTGTAGGAGCTCAATAGTACAAAGCGGCACGGGACCGAAGCTCTGTCCCGCCATGCATATATACGTGTATAAGAGCTTACCTTTAGACCTACATGTACCACCACTGCTTCTATTCTGGCATATCAGCTCCTCTCAGCCTCCAATGGATCGGCGGACTGACAGCCGTGTGCTCGGAGCTCAGCAAAGAGAGTGCCGCGCGGCCTTGCATCAGACAGAGAGCTCATCGTCATGTTGTTCAACAGGCGCCATGTGTGTGGGTGGCTTGTTCTGTCCATTTCCCCCTCCCAGGGACCCTGCAGGTCGAGATACACCGATTGGGAGGCCGCCTTGAGAGAGTCACTCGGTGCGGAGAAGCCAAGCAAGATGGTACCAAAAAGATCACAACTGGGCGAAACTGGGCCTACAAGATGCGGAACCGGGACCGAGGATGGGAGCGAAACACGCATGCCGTTCGGGGTGGGCAAGCTTGGGGAATGTCCGACGGACGAACCAGCGTCTGAGGAATTCCCCTCCAATGGACTGCGTCAGCCACCTTTTCTGAGCTGGCCCCGTAGGATCTGCTCATCAACATGCGGCATCTTCGGAGAATAAAGAAATAGCAGCTGGAGACGAGTAAGAATATTGGTCTGCCTGCAGGTCAACGGCACAGTGGCTTGTTTCAGAGTTTTTGTGACGTTGGCATCGGTAGTCAGTTGTAGTGAAGTTGCAAGGCTGGAGTTTATGCTTATTAGACTGCCCATGTAAGTGGTCTTGGACCCTTGTCAGTGATAGGTGATTCGCTTCTCCAAAGTTCCAGGATCGGAGCAGGGATCGACGTGGGACCAGGTTTAGATATCCAAGTCAATTGGGCCGGCCGTCCAAAAGGAGAGGCCGATTTACACTCGATCAACTCGAGCCCGGAGCGCTCAAAGGCTTACATAAAGAAGACCGTCGCTCTCGGATCAGAGATGATGTATGCAAAATGTGGCAGTGTTTGGAGTAGCTGACGACGCCTTGGACCTCATCGACGGCACTGAGTTGGGATAACGTGTGTATTCCTCGAATTCGTACCTTTACTCGAAACACGACTGAAGCCAGCGTGGACTCCACAATTCCCTCCCATCATTATCCAGGACCGACCTGCCTGACCGTTATGCAGGCCGTCTATCCTTCCAAGACTCTCAAACTCCAGCGTCGACATGCAGCTTAAGAGAACGATAAAAGACACGAAACCAATGCCATCAACAAAATGAAAAACTCCAGTTTCCTGATAAGGTAGAGCAGTTATGCATGCTCATCGTTACAGTATCTCCCTCCCGTTCGATACCCTCCATATGCATTTCGAATGGCACGAGGTCGTCGGCAAGCTCGTTCGTACAGACTCTCCTAGGTCCCAGGTTTGGCAACCGGCTGACCCTACAGCATTGTGCCAAATGACGGCTCCGACGTGATGTTCGAAATTGGCTTCCGCGGGCTGCCCTCCTCGGTAGTGGGTTTGCGATGGCGGAACGTAAAGCCAACGAACAGACTCTTGCTCATCTCATCGTCACGGTCTGCCATGTTCTCCAAGGCATTCTGCTTCTCGTGAACTTCTTTGTACTTGGCCATGTCCGCCTCGTTGGTAAAATCATCAAAGTAACCAGCATCAGTCTCTGAGTCCAGCTCAGGAACAAAGGGAGCCTTCGTCTCACGAAGGGTCTGCCAGTCGACCTCTGCGAAGTAGTGATGATCGTAAATGTCCTTAATATTCGAGAAACGCTTTGATCGCGAATTGATGCAGCTACTTTGGTTAGTAAAAATTGATAAGAATAGGCTTGGAGGCACGTACGTTGTGATGAAGTTCCAAGTGCGGTTGCTGAGGAAATAGTTCGGATCCTCCCACACAGGACGCTTCAGGACTTCTCTCCAATGCTTAAGGTTTCGCCAGGTCTCCTCTGGCGTAGAACCAGCGAAGGGAGGGAACCCAGTCAGAGCTTCGAAAAGCATGCAGCCCAAGCTCCAGTAGTCGACTGTGTAGTCGTATTCCTCTCCGCGAAGCACCTCGGGCGCCATGTAGTCAGGTGAACCCACAATCGACTTCGCATAATTCGCATCCTTCTCGCGCATGGACCGATAACCGTCTCGTCGTTCGGCCACTGTTCGCTGCTCCATTGGCTTACCGAAGGGAACTGACGTCTCCGAAGCTTTCTCCAAGCGAATTCTCATAGACTCTATTTTTGCAGGTGCGAGCATTCCAGCAGCCAATCCAAAGTCTGTCAACTTCACATGTCCGGTAGAGTCAACGAGGAAGTTCTCCGGTTTCAAGTCACGATGAATGTAACCAAGTTGGTGAAGAGCATCAACAGAGCAAAACATCTCCGCAATGTAGAATCGCGCATGACGGTTTGACAGGACTCCGGTGTTGTTGAGGAGAGTGCGGAAGTCACCGCCAGGTACGTATTCCTGCTCAAGTTAGTCTCTCGGCCCAGGCAGGACTTGCATAGGGATCTCACCATGGCAAGATAAATACTCTTGTCATCCTGGAAGGAGTACAGCAAACGGACGAGCCATTCGCTCTTTGCCGTAGTGAGAATATCTCTCTCGGTAAGGACATGGCGAATCTCGTCAAGCTTGAAAAGCAACTTCTTGCTCATGACCTTCAGCGCGCAGACTTCTCGGGTATCCTTCTTCTGCGCAAGGAAGACTTGACCGTAGCCACCCTGTCCGACCTGTGTCAAGATCTGGAAGTCACCATGTCGAAGGCGGACGCGTCGCTTTCGGAGGTTAGCACGCTCACGACCCGTATATTTTTGCCACAAATTATTGTAAGTCTCTTCATCGGTCTCGGGAGGCGCAGGAATTTCGGATTTGAACGCATTAAGTCGTCCCTGACGGCTACCAACATAAGTCAGGAGGTCGAAGTAGTAGTCCAGGAAGTCTAGGTAGTTGTTAGTAGGAATTCAGACAGTGGCTATCATGGCACTGACAGAGCTGGGTGACATTAACAAGTCGCTTAATGTTCGGCTTCTGCAGGATCTCTAGTTCCTCAGGAGTGAGCCCGCGAGAGGTGTTGAACTTCTTAGCAGGAGTAGTCGGCCTATCCTTCATCTGATAAAGCTCATGTCTCGACACAGCTGCATGATTGTGCTGGTAAATAGGCTCAGGGACGGTAATCTTGGATGCAGTTGGTGGCGTGTTTTCCTGTCCCTGCTTCCTCAACGGGCTACCAGTTGGGGTCTTCTGAATGATGCTCTCGTCAATGAGGGTAGTTGATCCATCCTCGAAAACTTGAGCATTGGGCTTTCCTGGAGAGAGCGGGGTGACTACGCTCTGGGGGCGGCCAAGCTTCACAGGGCTGTCGAGAATGTTGGAAGAGTTGAGCTTCATCGCATTCTCAAAAGCTGTGGGCAGGTCATTGGCGCCTGGAGGAGCAGTCTTCTTGCTTGGACTACCTTGAGGCGTGCTGACGGGAGTGGTGAAACTGTTCTTCGTTGGAGTGGCAGGACGCTGGCCAAGATCGGTTGTCTTGTCCTTGCTTCCACCAGGGAAAAGGTTCGCCACGAAGCTTGCCATTGTTGACATCGATTAATCGAGACTCGAGGATGTGAATGTATGAGTGAATGAAATATCTCGAATCGAAGGTAGAATGGTGGTAAGGTAATGGAGAAAAGAAACAAAAGCAGCTGGGAGTCTCCCTTGCAGCAGGGGACGTCGACAAACGGTTAAGACTGCTTCAGGTGATCGATCCCTACAGACAGAACCACAGAGGTAAGCCTGCAGACGATATGAGATGAAGATGACCTCGAACTTAGCCGGTGGGGATTGCGATGCAAGAGGAAGCAGCGCGTCCTGCAGGCAATGGAGATCGGGTCAGGGTTGGGTGCAGCCAAGTGTGGAAACGGCACTGCTTAAAAAAACAATGCGGCGTCATTGGCCCCACGCTGATAAAGTCAACACGTCGTTGCAGCGGGCAACAATCCACTACCCAGCGTTCACCCCGCCTTGTGAGGCACTAACAATCCAGCCAGCCTTAGCGCTACGGCTGCTGATAGCCAGATATATACACGAGTCCATTCCTGTTGCTTGTCACATCATTGTATCACATAGTACAGAGCATCACGAGGTTTTAGACCGGTAGAGTGCAGACGCATTCCGGACTACAGACTGCAAACTACAGGGCGCGTTGATCCCTGCTCTATACATTAAGGCCTCACATACGAGTGCATAACCACCAGCATTCTCGCTGCTAAGTTGCAATTTGACCTTAAACATGTCCATATAGATAAGATGCGCCCTTGCATTTGCCGTAACGTAGATGGATGCTTGCAAGTCTATATATGTCTCCTTTGAAGGTCGTAGTCTTAACCATCTCGCATTGGATTGGCGAGCTATCATCTCTAGAGCGAGCGGGGGCCATCGTCATGTTCGGAGAGGGCTATACGATGGCCCAAGATTAGGCACGAAATACCCAGAGCATCAACCCATTTGAAATCACACATCACGCTCAGTTATTGACCAATAAAGACCGGCCTGAGGAAACGCGTAGAAGCACCAGCACTGAAAGAGATGTGCTGAACTTATGGTTAGACACACAGGTGGTGAGATATTAGTATTCAAACTTCACCCAGGCAAGCACGAAGCAAAGAACGTCCGATTGGTATATCTCCGCCAGCACCGGTTTGGTGCTTGCAGCAGAGATGCATGTCGAAACAGATCCAGCACCCAACCTCCACCGGAGCAGGGCCACCACGCAGTGTAGAGAATGTTGTCTTTGTTCTCTAAATGTTTTCGAGGACTAATCAGGCGTCCTCGGGCTCTGTTCTCGCGAACCCTACGCCACCGATGTAATAAACACAGATGCAATTCCCAAGAATAGACGTGTCCATGCAGTAGTTGTCCGCCTCCGAAATGTCGTGAGCCAGAAAGATTCCCTCCCTTCCATACCGATTCCATCAAGCCTCCTAGTCGTCCTGCCAGATTGCCATGAGACTCATCCCAGAGAGCAAACGATGCCAGTTTATGAGGTCGGGTTGGGGTTCATCTTGCGCTTGCCACCGGTCAGAGTGACGTTGACGAATCGTCGAGTGTATGTCAATCTCTTCTTGGCGCGGCCCTTGGGAGTCTTCTTCTTCTCCTGCTTCTCAACCTGTACGACCGGCTTGTTAGTGACATGTGTCGCGAAACGTAACGTCCGCGATAGTGCCCTGGAATTTCATCGTCGCCGGAGCTCGCCCTTGATCAAGCTACACACTGCCTATCGTCCCTGGCGAATCTTGTGCCATCCTGTTGTGTGGTTCTGAAAATGCCATGCCTTGTTGAACCAATAAGCAGCTCCTGTTTCAATCCTCAGGTGCTCCAGCGACGATGAAATGCGGCGGGTTCCTTTTCGCAGTCGTGGATCGATTCGGGTGCGACCTACCTTGGGGGTCTGAGACTTGACCTTGCCAGCACGGGCGAGGGAACTGTTATTTCATCAGCACTTCGTCAAGGCAAAGAAAAATCAGTGGTGATGAACTTACCCGTGAACCTTACCCATCTTGTCTGATTATCGAAGATGTTTTGATGATGTGTGTTTGTTGACGAGTCGCTGGATGGATCGCTCTTCAAGGTGATGGGAGGCAAGCGAAATTCTCAACGACGGCGAGGAGTCAGTCAGGCGGAGTTAAGCCGGAAGTGGCAAGGTCTGGCTGGGGCTTCTGGGGCCAAACCCTCACAAAGAAGGAGCAGTGGAGACAAGGTCACGATTACAGTCACATGATCAGCGTCTTATCGATAAGAAAGTACAAGTTGGAAGTATCCTCTTTCGTCAGATCAGCGCGAGCCAAAGTTTCCCATATTGCGGCTCAACGTCTTTTACTTACATGCGCATAGCATCCCTGCCTTACGCTTACTTGAATTTGAGCTGCCGAGAGCTACAACACAAATCTTGCAGATAACGGGTTATCAGCTCACTGCTCACAATGCCAAAAGAGCGCAATTTCAACCCTGTTCAAGCCCAGCGAAAGGCTGACAAGGCGAAGGCGATCAAGAAAGGTGGGTTGAGCTTCTATGCTCATGAATAGACAACAGTCTTCGCTAACATACATACGCAGGCAAGGCAGAAGTAGCATCTCGGCGCAACGAGAAGCTCGCGAGGCGTAATCCGGAACGTATTCAGAAACAGATCGAGGACCTGAAGGCCATCACCTCCAGTGGCGGCAAGCTCACCAGCCACGAAGAGCAAACACTAGAGGGGCTTGAGAAGGAATTGAGAGCCGTCAAGAAGGCACGAGAGACACTAGGAGACAAAGCCCCAACATTTGGACGCGGTCCGCCACGGGACGGGGACAGAGGAGTCCTTGGGAAGAGGCGGAGAGACGCAGAGGATGCATCGAGCAGTGACAGCGACGTACCGGAAGATGTCAAGAGCATACCCATGCCAAGAGATACGCCGCCTCCAATACCGAAGGAAATTCTAGATAAATGGTATGCGAAGCGGAGAGAGAAGCGAAACGCGAACCTAGAGCCTCTTGGAGAAAGAAGTGATCGAAGAGAGACAGAGCCCACTCCGGCTGTTGAGGCGAAGACTGTCTACGAAGCTAAACCCATTGTACGAGACTTGAGAAAGGAGGCTGTCAGTGCATTTGTGCCAACCGCGGTCAAGATGAAGTTGGACAAGGGCAAAGGCCAGGGCGGTCTGATTGAGCCTGAAGAGGCCGACAGACTGGAGAGAGAGGGTTACATGAGAACAGGTGGAGCAGGTGGTCAGTCAGGATCGCTTGACGCGGAAGCCGCGACTGCAACGGGATTACGGCACGTCACCTTAGAGGAAGTTGAGGATGATGACGATTGAACGCCTTTCAAGATGCCATAATGCATCTTCGAAATCGATTAGGATCTTGGACGGCAGATCGGTGGTCGAGTCCGATCGCTGCGCCAAAGTGTTGCTACACGCTGGATTGCGACATTCGGTGGGCTACTTACGAGATAGCCAAAACTCAACCTCTATGCGCTATAGCAACTACACTCAGCACACAATTGCTTGACAATGGACTGGGTTGCTGTGAACATTTTACTGAAGTAAGCAAGCTTTGATATCGAGACTTCCTTTATTGAGAGCTCAACTTGTAAGATAGAGCACGGGCTTATTTGAAAGAAAAGCTTGACAAGACTTGAGCAAATGCAACACAGCTCTGTGACAGAAGATACTATTCGTCCATTGCACTACAACAACATGCCAGCCGGAGTTGCAATTATTTTACCTAAGAGTACATAGTCTAGACATCCCTCCACTAACCGGAAGATTCTTAGTGGACTAACCACTAGCCCCTCCTCCGACAGCGGTGCGGCTTCGGTGTTCGGCTCACATATCCCTAAAAACTTCTTGATGTGACTCCATTGACAGTTCTAAATGTGAATGTTAAAAGTCGAAGGGTCGAGCGTTTCTGGTTGTGAGCCAGCGGTGTTGAGTCAAACATGGAAAAAGTGAAGAGTTACGAAAACAATTGGATCAACAGAACACCATCAAGTCCCCACAATGCAGAGGAAGCTGAGAAGCGTATCGAGGCCTCGGAAAACTTCAACCCGCAACTTTTTGTTGTTGAAAACAACCCAGATGAGAGAGAATGCGTCTCTGAGCGGGAGTCTGCCTCGATAACTCGCGATGAGCACGAGGAGACATATCCAGAAGGTGGACGAAGAGCCTGGCTTGTTGTGCTGGGCTCTTGGCTGGCTTTGGTCTCGTCACTTGGCATTATGAATACCCTCGCGACTCTCCTCACATACGTCAAAGGTCATCAACTTTCAGACTACGACGAAGGAACGATTGGCTGGGTCTTTTCTCTGTACACATTCATCTGCTTCTTCCTCGGAGTATACATAGGCCCAATTTTTGATAAGTATGGCCCGCGTTGGCTTATATTCATTGGCACGGTGTCTCTAGCAGTGAGCTTGATGCTTTTAAGCATCTCTACAGGTGAGTTGCAATCGCTAGTCTAACATACTTTACTGTTGCTAATCGTCCACCAGAACTCTGGCATTTCATACTCTCATTTGGAATTCTTAGTGGCATGGGATCGTCTCTCCTGTTCACACCCTCCATTGCCTCAGTCGGCCACTTCTTTCGACAGAAGCGCGGTCTCGCAACGGGAATAGCATCTACTGGAGGCTCCATCGGCGGTATCGTCTTTCCGCTTATGCTGCAACGCCTTTTTATTAGCATTGGGTGGGCTTGGGCGATACGCATCCTTGGGTTCATCTGCCTTGCTCTGTGCATCGCGGCCAACTTCCTCATCCGCTCCCGTCTCCCACCCGCCGAGAATGCAAAGATTCATCCGGACTACCGTGTGTTCAAGAACAAAGCCTTTGCATACACAACGGTCGCCGTGTTCCTGCTCGAGCTCGCACTCTTCATCCCGCTGACCTACATCTCGTCGTACACGCTCCACCAGGGTTTCAGCTCGGCGTTCTCCTTCCAGATCGTGCCTGTGCTCAACGCAGCGTCCGTCTTTGGTCGTGCCCTGCCGGGCTACTGGGCTGACAAGATCGGCCCCTTCAACTCCAATATGTTGATGATCCTGCTCTCTGCCATTTCTTGTTTGGCTGTCTGGCTGCCCGCGGGCGGCTCCACCGCCGGCCTCGTCGTCTTCGCTGTTGTGTTCGGCTTCGCAAGCGGGAGCAGCATCGGTCTGATACCCGTGTGCATCGGGCGACTGTGCAGGACGCAGGAGTATGGGCGGTACTACGCCACGTGCTACACCATCGTGGCGGTCGCGTGTCTCGTGGGCGTGCCGATTGGCGGCAACATCATGAAGTCGAACAACGGGGACTACTGGGGCGTGATTGTATTCACGGGAGTGGTGTACATGGGCTCGTTTGCGACATTCATGGCGGCAAAGGTGTCGCAGGTCGGATGGAACATGCGGGCGGTCTTCTAGGCTTTATGATGATGATAATGAATTATGAATGTTCCTAAGATATGGTGTATATAATTGATAGTATGGCACATTGTATGTATATATCGTAATGCAATAGACCCAAACGCCATGCAAATGCTCGGTCTTCACTCCTTCACATGCGATTATATAGTATCACTCATCACACCCCAATTAAGCCATGTTGTCAGTCGGGGCCTCCTCGACGACATCCGTGATGGTGAAGTTGACCGGCCCAGAATAGACCTGGTGAACACCGGTGCCCTCGCCCTCGAAGGGTAGCTGGTCCTCGGGGATCTGGTACGTGCCCTTGAGCTCGCCGTGGCCGGTGAAGCGCCACCAGACGTCAAGCTCGGCGCCCTGGCCGCCAGTGATGGTGAAGTTGAAGTACACGCCGGCCGAGTCGCACGCCGTCACGGGCACGCTCATCATCGCCTGGTAGGCCTGGATGTTGGCGGTGCACTTGGCGAAGCCTGAGCCGGGGGAGGTCTGCACGTTGAAGCCATAGCTGGAGAAAGTGTTAGTTGGCATTCCTGGGGGGTTGGGGTGTCTTGCCAGCCAGCCACGGGGGTTCAGACGTACTAGTTTTGGACAGAGTGCGGTACTGTGCCGGCGGAGAAGTCTGTGACATTGAAAGGTGGGATGGCTCGAGGCTTCAGGGGAGATGCGCTGGCGGCTGTGAGAAAGAGAGTGGTGAGAGCTGATGTGAACTTCATATTGGATGAGGCGGAGCTGTTATGTGAGAGAAACAAATATACAGTTTAGCAAGAATGATATTGTTAGACAAGAGCCTTGATGAACAATGATGGATTGGAATGTGTCGATTGATGGAGAGATATCTCGTATCCTTATATACACTGAGCTGTAGTCGCCTGTGCCTGTTCATCAACATTACTCGTGTTCGTAGTAAGGGTACCAAAACCAGGAACATCCGCCATCATCTCCATTCTCCAAAGCGGCCGAACCTGGGCCGACTAGACAAACTCAAGGCCACGAGAAAATCGGGAGGCTTGGCTATCCTCCAGTAACGTTGCCGTCTGTCCCTTTATGGTGAGCGAGTTACATCAAGCGCAGCATGGAGGTGTAATAGGAAATCTGGGTCGTGGCTGTAGGGTTGACAGCCCATTTGGTGCAGGCTTGGAGGCTGGTCCGCGCTGGAATTCTGCACCCCACAGAGCGTCATCCAGGGTCCCGGCGCTGATGTCACCGCTTAAGTGGGCGGCGATCTGCAGCCACAACCGCTTTTGCGGGGGTGTTGGAGCCCCAAATTTAGCAACCCCTTGCACTCGACATCTCGTATTTTCCGATGCACAGGTGAGAGAAGTCGGTAGACAGTGCCGGTGAGGCCGACAGGACTGCCGTGGAACTTAGACAGATGATTTCGAATATGTGATTGGGCTTACGGTCCTTCTAGAAGACATCATAGCCTTGTGCGAATCAACTCTTGGCCGCCTCCCCAGCGCGACGCAAACCCGTATCTGGGAAGGATGATGATGCTGTAAATGTAAACTGTTGTGTCTGGCGGTGCAGTGCTGCGCTCCTACAAAACGACTTCGGCCAGACTCTCGGTATGAACGAGGCAGCGTTTCCAATGATGACTGAACATGTCAAGGCTTGCGTAAGGAGATTTGCTGAAACTGGGATTGAGCTGAGAGCCGCTCAGCCCTACAGTATCGCGAAGATGGATCCTTCATAGTCCCTCGAATAATGTTATCAGCTGCGGCTGACCCCTGAAGGCTTCGAGGATTGGTTCGCAGGAAGTCACTTATATGCGCGGATATCTCCTTCCATTGGCTAACATATATCATTGCCGAGTCATATCAGCCTTCGGGACCAGTATCATCTTTCACTTCGCTACTTGATCCATTTTCCTTGTAATTTGTGGCTATTATTGAGTGCAGGTGCAGCTATCTCACAAATCCCAAGGAGCTCTAATCGGGGAAGGGCAGTCATTACATTGTGCATCCGTGATGCTGTGCTTAAGGGTCACCAGCCACGTTGGTCCATGGGTTGCACTTTCTCGAAAGGCGCAGCAGGGTGCTTTGCCAATCTTGAAGTACAGAAACCGGGGCATTTTGGCATTGATGCTGGCATTGTCTCGGGTTTAATCAAGAACCGGGCGAGCCGTGGCATGCCGAAGTCGACCGAAGCAGGGCGTTTGTCGGGCAATCTAACCCTAACCCCAGCCGCCGGCCGGGGCTGAAGTGAAGTGCTGAATAGTACGCCGTAAACACCATCATGACAGCCCCATTCCGCTCACCCGATGGAGGATAGCAGACTGGAACAGATGAAAAAGGATTTTAATTGTAACACCACATTCCAAAAATTCCTTTCTGTGACTCAGCCCTCGTCAGCATCCAATCTCGACTTTCACTGCGAGTCTGTCAGCGCCTGCATCGCGAGCAAGCGTCCAAGAGCAACAAGGTAAGGCGATTGATTTCCCTCAGATATTCATATCCATCTCACCTTTTATACGACCCTTGAAGTCCGGGGCCGTTGCGGGACAGACGGCCAAGCGGCCAGCCAGCCAGCCAGCCCCTCACCACCACAAATGGTTCTCCATCTCCGGTCTCCTGCCGGGGGCCGAGGCATGGCACACCCACCACGATGCCCGGTAGGATCGGGACGGCGCTTTATTTTCAGATCAGCCCCCAACTGGGCGGATTGAGGATTCAGCACAATTCATCCCCCTGATCATTAATACAATTAAATCGGGCGATTACCCATCTTCGCCTACACATAGTTAACTGTGCACATATACATATAACAACCCCATCCCCCCTTTCACCCCCTACTGGCGATGAGGACATACTCCTTTCATACCATGCACCAAGCCCACTAACACCATGGCAGCCTCTCATCTCTCTTCACTTCTCCCCTCAAATTTCAACCTGGTTGACTCATCATCCCTTTCTCTCTCCTTTAACCTCAACACCTCACGTCCCTCATCTCCGACTCCTTCAGTCTTCTCGTCAAACTCATCTACTCACTCTTCCAGTATGGCTTCTACTGCCCAGTCAGACTCACACACCGCCGCGGAAGACCAGTACTTCAGCTCAAACCCGGCGCCCAAGGCTCTGGACGAGCATGTCTCCCTAGCCCGCGACTTCATCAGCTTCCACGCGGCCGCCGGCCGGCGCGTGGTGCTCGTCACGTCCGGCGGGACGACGGTGCCCCTGGAGAAGCAGACGGTGCGCTTCATCGACAACTTCAGCGCCGGCACGCGCGGCGCCACCTCGGCCGAGTACTTCCTCGAGGCCGGCTACGCCGTCATCTTCCTGCACCGCCAGTTCTCGCTGCAGCCGTACAGCCGCCACTACAGCCACGCGACCGACTGCTTCCTGGACTTCCTGCACGAAGGGCCCGGCGGCAGCGTCGTCGCCAACGGCGGCGTCCAGGACAAGATGCTGCGCGTCCTGCGCAAGTACCAGGCCGCCAAGACCCAGAACACGCTGCTCATGCTGCCGTTTGTGACCATCACTGATTATATCTATGAGCTGCGAGCCGTCGCCCAGCTCATGCGGCCACTGGGTCCTGCAGGCTTGCTGTACCTGGCTGCGGCCGTGAGCGACTTCTTCGTGCCGCCTGAGCGCATGGCCGAGCACAAGATCCAGAGCACGGATGCGGCAGACGCGGTCAAGAAGACGCCCGCTAAGCCAGTCGAGGCGGCTCCGAGTGAGGAAGAGGAGACGTTTGACAACTTTGACTCGTCCCCTGCCGTGCCGCGCAGCAAGAGGCTCATTGTGGATCTGGACCCCGTGCCCAAGTTCCTCAAGAACTTGGTAGATGGGTGGGCACCGGAAGGCATGATTGTCTCGTTCAAGCTGGAAACAGACCCAGCCATCTTAGTGCACAAGGCGAAGTATTCACTCGACCGGTACCAGCATCACCTGGTCATCGGCAACTTGCTGTCAACACGCAAGTGGGAGGTTGTCTTTGTCGCGCCCGGCCGGCCAGACAAGTGGATCCGTGTGCCCATCAGTCGCCGCAAGAAGACAATCAGTGGCATCGAGAACCTAGTCGGTGCGGCTGACAAGACGTCCACGACTGACGATCAGCCGCTGGACCCGAAGACGCTGCCAGAGGGCGAGCCAGAGATGGAGATTGAGAGCCTGATCATCCCGGCGGTAGAGGAGCTGCATGCGCAGCATATCAAGTCGTTTCAGGACAAGGCATAGATGCGGAGTTGGTGGTTTCTTATTGTAAATAGACGGCCTATTGTACATATTCTGAGGCTAGATCCATCCAGATTCGGGGAGCGAACATCAGCGGCACGACGGCTATCTTTTGGAGAATTAACAGTCATATGAAGGCTATGTAGCACCAAATCATTAAAGAACCCGAAGTTCTGTCCAAAGCGGTCTAAATTGCTGTTATTCTATGATGGAATTTCAAGATGATGACAGCTTGCCAACTGGATAAGCCGCAGGGATGTTACCCCTATTTGGCGTGATGGTAGGCACCTCCTCATACGCAGCCGTCACCTCAACAGTGGCATTCGTAAACGTCGGCATCCGCCTAATCGGCGCAATCTCGCTGACGTGCTGCGCAATGTTCAGCAGCTTATCTTCTGACCACGGCAGGCCAAAGATTTCCATCCCAATCGGAATTCCAATAGGCGCATCGTCGCTCGGCGGCGAGAATCCCGCTGGTACAACGACAACAGGGCAGCCCGTCAGTGCAGCTAGGATGCCGTTGCGTCCAGACTGTGAGGGAGCCCCAAGTTTCACAACGAGGTTCTTTTGCTCTGGGTAGATCAGTGCGTCGAGCTGGTGACGCTGGAATGTTGCGCGGACGGCGGCAGTGAGATTGGTGATGCCGCGCTGCGCAACAAAATACGTGCTATTGCCGGTGGACGAGCGTGTGGATGAATTTATGAAATTGTACTGGCTGGGTATGACGACGAATTTGCCGCTCGAGTAGATATCACCAAAACTCGCGGGTCGAGTGCCGGTCAGATTAGGGCCTGCAAGATAGGCGTTGAGCGTCTCGCGGTACTCATACGCCTGGACATCGAGCGCCGCGCTGATGGCCGTGGCATTGTAGATGGACTCGGTGATGTTAATGACCTTTACACCAGCTCCTTGGAGCACGCTGACCATGTTCGTCATGGCCTCGTTGACGGGTGTGGTCTCATTCGTGGTGGTGTGGTTGAAGAACCCCTGAATGAGGCCAACACGCAGCCCTTTCAAAGAGCCGCCCCGTACGGCAACGGTGTAATCTTTACCAACTACTTCAGGTGGGATCAGGGCTGTAACGTTATCGGCAGGGTCGTAGCCCATGGTCGACATGACGGTGAGTGCAACTGCAAGATCCTTGGGGCTTCTCCCGATGACGCCGACAGTGTCCTGAGTCACGCTGATGGGGACGACACCTGCTCTAGAGAGCAGCCCGCGAGTTGGACGGAAGCTGAACAAAGAGTTTGATGCTGCGGGACTTCTCAGGCTGTTGACTGTGTCTGTGCCAGTTCCAAACACAGCGAAATTCGCGGCTATTGCTGCTCCCGTGCCGCCACTGCTTCCTCCAGGAGTCCGTGTATGGTCATACGGGTTGATAGTCTGTCCGCCATAGGACGAAACACTCAGACCCTCGAGCGCCAATTCATGGAGATTTGTCTTTCCTAGAATGATAGCACCTGCGTCTTTGAACGCTTTCACCGAGGGGGCATCTACCGTCGGTTTGTTTCCGGCCATATCAAGACATGCGCCTGTGGTGTTCATTGGTGTAGCATCGTAATTGTCCTTGAGTAAAATTGGAATGCAGAACAAGAGTCCCGTAGCGTTGCCTGATGCTAGCCGGCTGTCCAACTCATCCGCGAGTGACAATGCGTCAGGATTCAGGCCGATTATAGCATTGATGGTAGGATTGAGTTGCTCAATGCGAGCTATGTAGGCGGAGACCACCTCGCGACATGTTGTGAGCCGCGTGTAGAGTGCATTATGAATCCCATCGATTGTTGCTTCACGAACGTCAAATGCCTCGCTGGTTGCAGAGACTGCAAGAGCAACGTGAAGAATTCCTCCCAGCAGGCGCATGTGAGAAGATCTGCATAATCTTATCCATGAGGAAGCCATTTGTAGTGGAGCTGTTATTGCAGCTTTTGAGGATAACACCTGATGGCACCGCTGTTTCTCATGAACTCACGATGCAGTTTGGAAAATCACGCTCTCGTCGTCCACTTGCAGAAAAAAGACAGTATCAAGACATCTCTAACGAGACCCTTCTTGCAGAAACGGTCCCATAGACCTTTTCAACAAAATCCGGTTCGGTCTTTAGAGGAGGGGTGTTGACATCAGGCCTGCTCGAAGCTACCCCGCCGCCGAGCCTTGGAGGCCGGATCTGCAGGAGATAACCGGCGCAAGATAGGAATCGGCCGCCGAAAGGGACGGTGAGGATATCGGCCGATTACCGGGTCAGCCTCCGCTTATATTCAAAAGACGGGCGATATGAGGTAATTCATGTTACAAATTTATCTAGAAATCACAATGTGCGATATCAGTCGCATTTTCGGATGTCTTGGCTCCAGAAGTGAGGGTGGAGACTTGCATATCATATCGCGGGCTGTTTTGCGGGAGCATAGCTTCTCTCAGTCTGGATATGCTCTGTATAACGAAGCACGAGGCTGGGAGCTTAGTTATCCAGCCGAGCTGCGGCTCAAAATTTGTCGAGTGTTGCTGAGTCCCATTGAGTCGAGGAAGCAGAGTCTTGACTTACATTGAACCTAGCAGCACGGACCACCTGTTGACCACCACCAAATTTCTTACCCCTGAATTTATTTCATAATGAGGACAGACATCTTGACCATGCCTTTGAGATGTCTCAAAACTTTGCGATGACTGAGAGTGCTAACTTCAGATTTCCACAGTTCTACCTGCGGTGAAACTGTCCGTAGGGACGAAGCGGTTGCTCTCATGCGTTGCGCTTTCCACAATCCATGTCTGTCAGGCAGGCTGCGTGAAAGCCATCTGCTGGAGACTATTGATCCTGACATTTCAGGAAGGCGCCTGGCCACACACATCTGGAGTGCCCAAAGGAGGAAGGAATGAGCTCACCCAAACGGGCCTACCTATATGCACGAGAATAAGGCCCCTCGGGTTAACAATACAGATTGGTCAAACGGTCTAGAGGCTCAGTCTCAACTACCGAGGTACTCACCGGTGTGTTTGCAGTGGAAGCATTTTGCCCTCCGATAACTTCGTAGTGCAGGCAAGGACCCGGGGTATTATTACAATCCCTTGTAAAAGCATTCTCCGAGTTCTGACATCTATGACAGTTCGAACCCCGGCACCGGTCACTCTTTTTTGGATTTCTACCCTACTCCAAACCACGAATTGATCGATATTCCTTTTTGCTATTTAACGGCTGTGATGGATGAATTTTCGACGCTGGCACGTAAGTGGATGGGAGACCATGGCTAATCTGGCTTTTTGAGGGTGTCGGAAAACCGAGCACAAATACCCCTGAACCCTATGCTGTCTGCGGTGTCAACATCTTAACTTGACGCCAACATGCCAGCCTGTAGCGTTGTTGAAGAAGAGCAGAAAGAGACTGAAGACAAGAAGGCATATAATTACAGGCTCACAGAAGCCCAGATTATTCTCTTCATAAAATGAAGCAAGATTTCCGGGTTGCTGCAGCGGATGAGTGCTGCTGAAACAGCAGCCAGAAATCCTGGCTCCCAACGCTTAGCCCCTGATTCAAACCCAATTTCTCAATCAACTTCCAAGCCCTTCTGGCGCAATAGAAGCGTGTGGCTTTCCTGTCATGGTCAGGCCAAGGTTCTGGGTGCAAGTCCCAGGTTGGGTTGCGTTATCATTATTTTTGGTTCTTTTTTAGTTGAGTCACTTACTCTCAAGATCTTCAAATTTCCTCTTCACCTAACTGAATTGATGCCTGCTGGATTTCCAACATAGGTTCCATTTAGTTCTATAGTGCTTTCGTAAGTTCAGGTGTTCTGGCAAGCTGGAAATGGCTTGATTGGTTGAGATGTGGTCGCTGCTTCCCTCTTTACGGCGATCTCCCAATGAGCAGGTAGAACAGCTTGATGCTGGACTCTACAAGGCAGAGATCACACTCTTAAATGGCTGATACACATTGTCTCGAATATATCCGACAACCAATCCAATATTATACATATATCACCTATTTTGAACCTACAATTCCTTCTTCTCGTCCTTAGCCACCTTCGACCTCACCCGCTCTGACCCCGGGGGAGACTTCACCCCAGCAAACACCACAGCCGTCACAGCTGCAATGCCTAACGACCCCAATCCATAAGCGACCTCTCTGCCTGCCCACCAATACACACTGGTGAACAGAATCGGGCCCAAGCCTCTGCCAAGCTGGCCCCAGCTTCGAAGAATGCCCAATTTCCCTCCACGATCATCCTCGCTCGCCTCGAAACTGCTAAGGGCGTTCAACCCGGTCACCACGGTTGCGGAAGTGGTCGCTAGGCATGTCGCAGCTAGATACAAGCCGCCTACTGACGTGATGCGCCCGAGAAGGATGAAAGCGATTAAGCAAGCAACAACTCCCATCTTCACTGAGAGCAGGGGAGGCAGTCTCCTTACGACACCGCCCTGAAGCAGTGATGCCACCAATCCGACGAAGCCCAGGAGCCGACCATTCTTCGCAGATGTGTACTCAAACAGGTCATACGTCATAAATGGCAGGGAGAACTCCATCCCTGAGAAGAAGAGGAGGAAGGCAAAATGGACCGAGTTCAGAAGAAAATGCGAGTTCGTGCGCTGAATGGGTGCCGCCTTCCCTGCCGTATCCTTCTTCTCGATCTTGCCGTTCGCAGCACCGGTAATCGATGGCAGGGTCTCTGGAAGCGTGAAATACAAATATGCAGTCTCTGTAACAATCAGGAACAGCGAAAAGCCCGCTGCAGTCGCGAAAGGATTGGCAGCCACCGTCCCAATGGAGCTCAGCCATGCGCCCAGCGCGGGGCCGAATGTGAATGCGATCGAGAAACATGCGCCAATCAGGGCCATAGTTGAGCCGCGGCTCGAGGCGTCAGAGATATCGGTCGCGATCGCCGTTGCGAGCTGTACATTTCCCTCGGAGAGTCCGCCGACAATGCGCGAGAGCAAGAAGGTCCGGAAGTCGACCGCCATGACCCACAACAGGACGGAGAGGATGTTGCCCATCATGCTGGCGAGCAGTGCCGTTCGGCGACCGTATTTGTCGGAGAGGTGGCCAATGATCGGAGAAGCAATCGCCTGGAGGAGGCTTTACAATGATTGGTTAGCTTGGTCTAGCGAAGACTTGGGGATATCCGGTGCCCTACGAGAATAAGCTTCCTAGAGCTCCGCCTAGCAGCACTATGTCATATCTAGAGTCGATTGGCCGCGCGAATGCAGCCTTGTAGGCGTTGAGGTATCCCAGGACGTGGGCAAGTAAAGTCGGAGGTCTCGTCTCGGACGCATCTGTGGGCGCTTCGATGTTGCGGTAGAATTCGAGCAGTTGGGGGAATAGAGGGAGAATGAAAGTGAAGGAGATCTGTTGGCGGACTGTCAGACTACATGAAGAGTCCATCGCACGGTGAAATCACTTACCAAGTCCAGGAGAAGAGATATGAAGATGACCTTGAGCACCCTCTTCCTCGTCGTCGCATCTACTGGTGGGGCCATTTGGGATTCGACTTTCGGGACGAGCCGAGCAACGCGTGACGTCAGGAAGGAAAGAAAAGACAGAGAATGGAAGGAGTGCGTTCGAATAAATACAGTCAGTGATAAATCAACACGAATGCTCCATTTGAAGAGAGCAGAATTGGAGTTGGAGAGAGAAAGAAAAGAAGGTCGAGAAAGCAAAACGCAGAACACGCCAGCGTCGCAAGACGTCACAAGAAGAGCTCCTGACCCGTGGAGCCCAAAGCTTCGTCCTCAGCTGGTGACGAGGTGGCCAGGGTGGCCTTGCCCAGCCCTGTAGTGTACGTACTATACGGATACGCCAGTATACGCCAGTATAGGTACGCCCGTGTGTGCCGGACCCGCAGCTTGCCCCATCGGAACCCCTGGATTAGTAGCCTATCCGCTGATTGGGCCGCATTCCTCCCCAGTACGACGATCCCCGGATGCTGATTGTCCGGCAGAAACACCCATCCCTGCATTGCCGAGACACATCGCGGGATGTTTCCTCTTGCTCCTTTCGACCTCGCAGCTGGGCCTGCATTCTCCAGCGGAAGTGTCCGGCGGCCACGAACAATGCGTGACACCTGTGTGGACACTTCGCAGCCTCACTCCAATACCAGTCTCTGTGATTAGTTGATAGCTAGGATAGATATGGTCTTCCCTGTTTTCCTCGAGCCTGCGTTCCGTGCATTAGAGGGGCCATCGGTTGATGATGACATAGGCTTGGAGGATAACGACAGGCACTGCAAAGAGATCGTAACATATGGTGATTATGGCCCCTGGCCAGGAGGCTTGCAATACACCGTCAATGACTTCAGCCCGGAGGTTGGAGATATCGTCGCCGTGCAGGAGAGTCTTCGCAGCCTTCCGCTTCATGGCTCGAGGACGCTGCCGATGGAGCTGGTCTTGTACATCCTATCTCTTGCTGAGTACCACCCGCGACTCTCGTGCCGCCGTTATGTGCCGCCGCCTGTGTTCAAAGAGTTGAGTGACAACGTCCAAGGACTCTACCTGCATACCGCGCCCCTACCATCCCTACCAACTAGCGACGCTACCATCAAGGCAAGATGGATCACGATACAGACAACATATCCAACGTGGCGTCTGCGACACGATCGACGTCGGCGTGTCTATTGGTGGTATGAACTCACAATCATCCGCCCCCTAACAAGCGCGGCCTCTGGCACTATTTTACCCCCGATAGCTCATGAGACACATGAGGATGCACGACCATGGCTGAGAAAGCAGGGCTGGGATATTCTGGAGCAGGTGTGGAAAGTCTGTGATAATCGTGCGGGCGATATACCGCACCTGAGAGTAGACTGGGTCGCAGACTTCACCAAGTTAAACGACGAATCTCAAGGCATGGAAACGGGGAGGGGTTTCTGGATACCCTGTTACCGGGCGATAGGGTCGCCCTCTGGGCACGATCTCAATCTGAGGTGGGTCGTCTCTTTGTAAACATGGATATATGACTGACATGAAAATTATAGGAAGGAGTAACGATTGCGCACGTTCACCAGGCAGTAATGGAGTTGGGATATGAAGTTAGAATGGTTTCGTGAGGAAATATTATCGTCAAGGCGTGGAGCTGTGCGGTAAGTTCGATGGCAACTGATTATGATGCTTGTCTTATTATTTGGTGCGCTTAGCTATATTACACATCATTCTAATTTACAATGACTCTTAGACAACTCCGTTCCGGTGTGACTGCGCAGATTCCAACATATACATCCAGAAGAGCAGGCCTTGCGCCGCCATGCGAGCTTCAAGCTCACTACCACTCTTCTCCATAGGCCCAGAATCATTACTGCTACCCTGTACAGCCAGGCTATCAGAAGTCTGCATGAATCCCAACGGATCTTGTCGTCGTAGCTTGCAAACGCAGCTCTGATCCTAAATCACTCTGAAAATAGCAATTCAAAAGCAGATAGCAGATCCTCATCTGACATCGGGCCAGACTTTGGCCTTGCAGTGGTTTTTGGCTCCAAATCTTTGAGGAACCAGTCTGCCTTGCCTCGCCCTGGACAGAGTTTGTCCACCAGCTTGGAAGCCATGATCAACTTCCTCCGAGCAACAGGAAGGCCTCCAATTCTTAGCCAGGGTTCACGCCAATACTCTGGACGATGGGTAAGCTCGCGGATCCCTGATATCCCGCCAGGTCCCCAGCGTCCCCTCACATTTGTGAGCTTTGCAAATGAGACAAGGCGCTCTGATAACTCAAAGGCACCGGCGCTGATGATAGCCTGGCTAAGGAACATTGCCATCATTCCAGCAGTATACTTTGCTGTGATGGCCGGGCCGGGCCGTTCGTGCTTCAACATGCACTGCGCTATGGCCCATTCCTTAGATCCCCAGAGGAATTTCTTCTGCTTCAGGATCAAGATAGACAAGGGTGTACTCCGAAGCCTGTGTCCAATACAAGGACTTGTTCCATAGTCCAACAAAAGGCTAACAGTCTCTGGTGTAAATTCGGGAGGGCACAGACCTTCGTGTAGCACTGTCCACATGGGAAGTTTGCTTAATTGCCACTGAGCATTGACATTGGCCCCGTGACTCACGACTTTTCGAAGGAGGTCTTGATGCCCAGAAATAGTCGCAATCCATATTGGT